AATATAGTAATATACTATATATATATATATATATATATATATATATATATGTATTTATGTATAATATATGTATCAGAATTTTACTCTTTCAACATGGACGATAGTGAAATCGTTTTATACGTGGCTATTTATATTTTGTTTCATCGCGATACGTAATATTTTGGATATGAGCAGTGGAAAGACCAGCTGAGCTATAGCCTCGAACCAATGACCACGGCAGTAGCAACGCTGCGCGAACGAATCGAGCACGTGATGGTGCTTATGTCACTGCAGAACGGTCTGCTCCAGCAAGTACAGGGTATCAAAGGGTATGTTATTTATTACATGTTAGCATGTTATGATCGCAGTGTGTGTGCTTTTTTTATCGTTCGGAATGAAGGATGATATGTCCAAGCGAGTCAAGGGCATTGGAAATTATATCGTCATTGATGAGTAGATCTGTATTTCTTTTCTGTGGCTATTTATTACCGATTATGAACATCGTGTTAGAATCGTGTAGATCTGACCGCAACGTGGTCGCATTTGAGGTGTTGAGTAATATTTGTTGGCCCGATGTACGAGCCGCTCCTCAAGGGAACTCGTATGTAGTTGCCACGTCGGTGTTGTCTGATCGTTTGGCAATCGTTGTTGCGCCCGTTGCAGTTTGGGTTTGTCCATGCGCAAATGCTAATCTACGTATGGATAGTATAGGTGCATTGTAGAGTCATTGTGGACAATTCAGCGTTCGCTAATTTATTTCATGGTTACTGAGTAATGTCCTTATATTGTTCAATTCTACTTCATAATTGTGATCTAGCTACTCTGATACCAACTTATGATTGTTTAAAAACTATTATACGCTCAGAATTGATGCCACGTCTTTGCTCGACGGCTGTCATCGGGATCTCAATCAACGAGAAAGCCTGCTGGTTGCTATGGCAACCAATGATGCGAAGCTTCACGAGTTTGTCAGGCGTTACATGGACCGGATGGTGCATGTGGGTGTAGAGATACATACCTACTTCCAAACTATAGTCGCATTTAACCGCGTTCTTAGGTGAGGGCCATTTGATTTTTGTATTTCCGGAATCTTTTGTATGTATCGCCTATACTATTTGTACGAGACTCTACGCACATTATTGCTTAGAGTTTAATGTTCTGCTATGTATTCGATATGTATCAATTTACTGTTTTATTGTCAGCAATCATTTGGCTTAATGTTCTGTATATAGTTATAAGTGTTTCGCTAAGACAACTCCATTTACTGTATTCGCTACAAACTCACGTACTCAAAAATGTATATTACAGGCAAGTGTGTTCGGGGAAATCGCTGGAGACCTTCCCTTTGGTGCAGAATCACATGTACGAGACCCTGTCCGAGCTCTTGTTTATTCCACGGCAACTGACAGCTGTGCTGAATGTCTTGCCAGAGGCTGTCGCTCGTCAACGATACACCCAATTGCACTCAGTCACGGGTAAGTGTTGGCGACTTGGTTATCTGTAAGTGTACTGAACGAGGTTCTGTTTTGTATGTATCTGTACATACACAACATTTCGCGTATGAAAACATAATATACTCCATGTTTGTAGTCAGGAGTCATGTCAAGTATGATAGTTTTATGCTTGCCTATACACATGTATCCCGCAGCCGTGTCAATAACCACGCGTACTGCTTCTTACTCTGTTATCCGCACAACTGTACGATGGTGCAGAATCGAGGTGTACACTCACAGTGTATGCAATCGGTGAGATATACCTACTTTACACGTACACTTGCAGGTAGTTCGGGTCTCCTCCTTTTTGGAGTGAGCGCTGTCATTTATCTGTTCGTTTCATTTTGTCTACTAGCAATCTCATCACAGCTAGCACACGCATCGTATGCCGAGGAAATACGGAGGCTGGAGTTCACCGACGCACACGTGCACATCGTACCGGATGCATTACTGCGACTATTGCAAGAGAGCAGCCCCTCACTCCCACTTCTAAAAGTGGTCCGAGCTGACGTGAAATTGGGTGCAAACAGCACCAAAATATTAGATACAGGTGCAAACGGCTCTTCACATGAGGAACAAGGCGAGATCCCGCTCTTCTTCTCTTGGGATGATGTGGTGCGGTTGCAGAAGGAATTAGGAAAGTTCGGTACCATTGCGGACGACTACGTTAGCTTGCTGCGAGATTGTCTGAGCAGCATGCGTGTTGGCGCCGAAGCGGAGGATATTAAGTACCCTGCACTGAGCGATACAAAAAGTATATCAGTCATGAGTCACAGAGATACATTTGTTCACGCAAGAGACACACATGGGCATCCGAGCCATCCATATGTATATTCAGGGCAAGCTGGGCATGCCACGCAAGAGGCACAAACAGTCGGTGACAGTAGAGGAAGTGTAGATATGAGAAGCGGTTTGCTAGGGGGGATGAGACCTGCTAGTGGGGTTGAAAAGGATGAACATGGACACTCACAGTTGAAAGGCCCTTCTTATTCTGGCTATGGTATGAACTCGCAGGTGACAGTGGACCCGCGCGAGCGAGTAGGCGGCGACCGCGTGCGCTCTGATTTGGTACAGCCGAGTGAGGAGACACACGTAAGACGCGATGCGATATTTCGTTGATTTTTTTACTGTGACAGTGCTGTTTTGTGCTGTGCGTTGTTTGTAGGAGCTATCTTGACTTCAAAAACTGTAAGGGGTATTGTTATGATTGGGTCGCTTGGTCCTGGAGTGTGTGATGCTGTGCTTGAGAGGTATTGCTGCGAAGGTCAAGCTGGTGAAATTCTGCGTTCAGCTGATAGGTAGATATCTTGATGTCATGCTCGACTGTTTTGTTTCTACTGTGTTGAAATTTAAAGCCAGATCGGATTGTTGTCACACTTTTGTTTTACTATCTTGTAGAAATATCGCATGTTGGACTTGTCAACATGTATTTTTGCTTGAGATCATAAGTTTATTTCTGTGTATAGTGATGTATCTACTTTTTAGTAGCCTACCCGGCTGTCTCATTTGCATTTGTCTCTATCTTTTCGTCTCGCGAAATTAGTTTGTTTCTGCCTCTCATCAGATTCGGTGTGGGTTTAAATTTCATTGGTGTGGGTCAATATGTCGAGGTTTGTGTAGGGCGCGGGCATGTGATAATACTAGGTTCGTCTGTCACATTGCTTATAATCTCGTGTCCTGATGTATATACTCGATATTAAATTGTCTGTTTTTGCTTGTATTTCTGAAGAGCTATGATTCGGCGTCAAAAGAGATCTCACATTTTATGTCTAACATATATTCGAGCGTGCGAAATGTTGCAACAAAGTTTATTTGGGTAGTGAAAATGCCTGAGAATCCTTTTCAAATTGAGATTCCTAATGGGTGCTTGGCTATATTTGACTTCCTGCTCTTGAAGAAACATATTCTCGATTAACTTCCAGAACGGTTGGGATACCTTAGAGCAATCTTACCTTGATATAGCCGACGAGATCGAAGGCAGCCCTTCAACCGAGATAATGCGTTTATTGACAGATGAGCATTGTCATTCGCCCGCCCAAAATCAAAATCTGGCTAAACATACTTCTGCTAATACCGAAGGATCATACGCCGATGGCAAACTTGAGAGTTCAATGGATGCACCCAATTCACGGGATGTGGACCGACCAGGACAATCCGGTGGGATGTCGAACCAAGATGAATGTGGGACTGTCATGACCCAATCTATGGTGAAGGAAGCGTATCTGATGAACGAGCTATGCGCAGAGATGGTTGAGGTCGGAGTGCATGACCAGGGTGTGGGTGCTGCCACTAGCGCGTGCGGTGCCGTCAAAACAAATATTTCGCACGATGCAATTCCTGATGAGGAAGAGACTGGCGAAGTGGTACCATTGTTAGGCGGCCCAAATTTAGGGTTCAGGGCAGCCAGGGGCGTGTCACCTCGTGTGAAGCGAGTGCAGAATTTTCCTGAACATACTTCCCCCGCATGTGAGTGCGAACGAGATATAGCGTGTACATGCGCGAGCACGCGTCCGGACTCCATACGTGCGTTGTTAAGCATGGGCAAACATACTCAACCCGACAAGAATTTGAGTACTGATACCAATGTGAACAGTCAGGCCTTGCAGCGAGAGGTGGCTGTTCTGCTCGAGCGCGTATCGTCCATGGTCATAGTTGCGGCTGAGAGAGAGGCGAAGTTGAAGGAAATGGGCGAAGAGCTGCAAAGATCCTGTGCCGAAGTCAGGCTACGTGACTGTAAAATTGCTTTGCTCAATTCTGAGCTAGAGCGACAGCAAGCGGCGTCGGCTGTCATTTATAAAGACGTTGCCATGGCTACGGGCGATAAAAGCTCAGTGGGAGGTACGGAGAGTACTAGTGATGTTTTAGTAGCGTCGCTGGACGAATCCAGTGAGGAATTGTCCTCAGAGTATGGAAGTGCTGTTAGTAGTACCTTGGAAGGTAGTGATTGTGGTGTGTTGGTATCCAGGAGTGAGTATGCGGATATCGGTGGCGACAGGGACATACAGTCGGAGACTGGATGTAGCATGCGGACGGACACAGGGACATCAGTCGAGCTTGCTGTGGCGGAGGGAACGCAGACAGACTCGCCCTTGTGCATTAATAGCTGCACGCAAACATTCACGCGCATATATGCCGATACCTGCACGCAGACTGATCGAACGGAGAATCTCGGACCATGCGGAGAAGTAACAGAAAGGCAAATGTTGTTAGCAGAACCCGACAGCAAGGTAGCATACACAGATGAGGTGAGTAGAAGGCATCTACACATGCTGCAGCATCAGCTATCGGTGTATTGTGGGTATGTAGCTGCACTCGCGCAGACATGTGGCATAGAATGTGGCAACAGGAAGTGTGAAGACGAAAGGGATGGGCTCGGAAAACATATGGACAGGGAGGTAGGATCAGATGACGTGTATGCACACATAGGGAGTGGCACGCACATTAAGACTGACGACACACGTACACGCACGCACCCGTATGCGGAGCCGAGCTCATCGCACGACGTAAAGAGGGGTGATGTAGAGGTTGTCGAACGAAACGAACTGTGTGGTCGTGAGCGCTGGGCTTCTATTGCGCGAAAATTGTATAGCATACCTCTAAACTTTACTTTAGAGAATCCGGATAAGGGATTCAATGGTACGCACAGCGTGTCCCCCAATAAGGAAGAGCTTGCTTACGCCGATGACCAATCAGAAGTGTACAATAGCTTCTCACGAGTTCAATCAAAACACGAGAATGGGTTTGCTGCTTCCCAGACCGATGCTACAGATACCAGGAGCGAGGTCGAGTGTCTTGATGCACTCCTCCGGTGTGCAGACGGCCTGCCTCTCTTTACAATTGAGGCACATGTGCGTAAACTGAGTGAGTTTGCATCGACACAGGTGCACGCAATTACCGACGGAAAGTATCGATCATTCGGCAAGGATAATAAAAATCTGTTCTCCAATCTAGATGAAGTCACAAGGGCGATGCTAAGAACTGAAGAAGGGAAGAGGGTGCTTATCGACGATGTCAGTCTCTCGGGAGATAGTACTCTGAGTGTCTCTCGAGGTAGTGGCGGACCAAATTACGCCGAAGATCCAGAGTTTTTGGATTCGAATACAAATTGGAGCTCAGGTTCAGCTGTAGGTCACAAATTGCTTGGGGTGGTTGATGATGCGGTTCATAGGGAGTGTGGCACAGACTCGGGTACAGATAAACACCTACCAACGACCAGAGAAACAATGCAAGGAGAAACGCACACACCAACAAGTACAGACTCGTTCACACAAGCGCCCATATCAACACAAGCGTATATCTCTTGTGAAAACACTTTCGATGGTACTCAGCGACAGTTGGATACCAAAATTAGCGTGCAGGCGTTTGATACGGACTGTCTGATGCTGTTCACGCCACTTAATTCCGGACATTGGTTTGCTTTCAACATCGACCAACCGCACTACTACCTACACGAAACGTGCGTGGCCGATTATCAGCTGGATAGGAAGATAGTGACTATGTTTGTTGGCAGAGCTATCTATCTTCAGGAACACAGAGCCAGTGCGACGTATAATCCGTTCGGATTGAGTGAAGGAACGAAGTTCTCGGAAGTCATCGCTATCGAAGAGGCCAAAGGGTATGTTGAACGCGAGGCTCTCCCTGTCGACCGTTTTGTCAACATAGTGTTTTGTTGTCATTGCTTCTTGATCACTGTGGCATCTGCGATAGTGAAGTGTTTTTCTCGGAGCTGAGGGTACGCTCAACGTCTCGAAACGGTGTGAACGGATGACGTACATGCAGGGCTAAATTTGTCCTACTTAGTATACAGTCCCTCTTCAAGCCGCCTCTGTGTGTTCAGATCGGTGTTACGCTATGTTATTCTGCATAGACAACCGTGTACATTCTGTCCAGGAGATTCACTTTCGGCTTAAAAAGACTAAATTAGGGTGGGGGTTCGCCACTTAGCCTCTGTCTTGGTTCATGTTTTAGTTGCGATTTTTTGTACTGGTATTGCCTTAAGTGTAGGCGACCCGATGTTTTCAATACGAGTAGCTAAATCATCTAAAACACGATCACACCCACAGTATGAAGGTTCGGCGAAAGAGCTCTTCGCGGCATCGCTCCGGCGAAGCAGACCTATCAAACAGTCCCCCAAACAATGCGCCGAAACGAGATGAAATAGCGCCGCTCACTCCCAATTATGCGGAAACCATGATGCTGTCGATGATTTGAATGTGCGAGGCACATGGCAATAAGGATCAATGTTGTCACAACCCGGGCTAGTCTCACTCTTTAAGAACCGGTATGTGATGCTGAGCAGGTGGTCCCTAAAAGTCCAACCAAGTTGTCACACGAAACTTTGCACCTCTAAAGTGGGTCGATGTATCCGTATCTAAGCGAAATTGCTCTGCCTGAGCCTGGTGGACTAAAACCCAGTAACCCCATTCCAGTTCAGCACTTAGCCCAGCCTACGAGACTATTGTTCGTATGCGCCTGGACCTTTCGTATCGCACGGAGATATTTCTACGCATACGTGTCTGGTAGTCACGTGACATACTTGTACTCTTCAAAAGCGATTATTGATGGACCACTAGAGTCGATGTGCCCATCGCACATCAATCATTTTTAAGATATGTGGCGCGGATTGGCATGCTTCTCATCAACAATCCATGCGGTAGAACATTTCAGATCTATGGTAAAATGGTGGTTCAAAGGGACAAAATAGCCTCATGGTCATGGTCTAGCATCTTCAACGAGCACAATTATCGTGACGAATCCTCAGCATTGCACATATCGACAGCGGCTGAAGTTCGCCTTTCTCCTCGATTTTCAACCACTCTCGGAGTTTGTTTGGGGTCGTAATCATTCCGTCGAATGCCTGTTTCAATCTGAAATGTCATACTCATCAGTATCGCATCTGTGTACGTTCGCTCTGGCTCGAAAGTCAGGGAGCCGTAAGTGTGACCGAGTGGTGTCACAAAACTCGCATGAGTTGGCAGTTAGAGTACTATCTCGATAGTGAGCGATACGGGGTGATTCATACGCACACTCCTACACGGTGGGGGGCACATCCAGGACTAAGTACACAGTTGCACCTAGTCTGAGAGGTATTAACAATGCCTGGAAGGTTGGAACGAAAATTAGTAGAATAAATGCAGTACCAGCAGCTGTTACTGCCGCCATACTACGGCACTTATTTTTTTACTGTTTCTTCGCTGACTCGTTGATCAGTTGTGTTTTAGTTATCGCCCGTGATACAAAAAGTTCTCTCTTTCTTCTGGATTTTTGTGTGTCTCAAATTCACTCACACACACACACACACACACACACACACACACACACACA